ACACACACACACACACACAGTACTCTAGTACTCTCTGTCTTTACTCTGGTAACTGTCTCTCATTTGCAGCTGTATGTGGAGTACATTGTGAAGAACCCGCTGTGTGTGCTGGGCGAATCTCTCCAGAGCGATCTGTTCAACAGTAAACTGGACTCTTTCATCAGAGCGCTACCGTTCTTCAGCGTCCGCGCCGCCTGATCACAATAAAACATCAGCTTCTATTTATACTCAGCATCTGCTTCCTCTAGCACAGTTCTTTTGTTAAATATCACTTTTCATTATTTGAAGACTCACAGAATTGATCAAAATAAATGATTCCTTTTTTTTCTTCAAAAATTGCATACATGTTCTCGCGACTTGAGTTCCTGTTTATTGCTGTCAGTTATTGCTGTTTAAAAACATCAGAGTTTGGCGATTTATTGCAGAATAATGTTCAAAAATTAATTTATGTGATGTTTGATCTAATAAAAAATTTGCAGGATAAGTAACATGTTCAAGTCCAAATGATGAAAGCACTATATAAAGGAGACTTGACTTGTTTTTGAAAACAATGGTTATTATTTATTTTATTTTTAAAATTTATTTTATTTCTTTTCAACAGTGCCAACTGGGTTTCTAAATTATTTTCTTAAGCAAATCACGATAGCCCATCTTTCTTTTGTGTGGAAAGTGACACTGTCTTGCCTCGTGTCCCATCCTTCCACATGCAAAACAAACAACTTCCTTTCCTTCATTTCTCCAAACAATGCCTTGCTATGTGACCATCATTCCCACATGCATGACAGACAAAGCTTTGATGAGGTCTCTCATAGTCTTAACAATGTCTAGCAATGGGACCAGCTTTTCCACATGCATAACAGACAGTAACACCTTCTGAATTTACTCTTGCAAATCTCCTTGGTCTCTGATGGAAACCATTAATTAATCTAGAACATTCTCCCCTGCCAAAGGCAGCAACTGGATGTTTGGACTCTGCACCTTTTGTTTAACTTTTTGCATTGAAATATTGTGTTATTTTGGAAATGAGTTGCTTGTATGGTGCATTTAAATCTACATGATGATCAACGGCTTCTTGCATGTGTTAATAACATTAAGTTTTGTTTAGTTGCATTTGGCAAACCACTGTAACAGCTAAATATTTCCCACAACCTGAACGCAAATGCCATAGGATGCTTCCCAGTTTCCAGTGTCACCTCGGTTATAGTTCTCAAGTTAACCACATCACCCTCCTTGCCCCTCTGTCTGCTCTTTTGTCACAAACATCCTGTGAGAGAGCACTAGTGAATGATTAGGGAATGCAGTTTATAAGAAGTCAACAAGCATCTGCATCTGACACACTATAAATGTTCACTACCTTCTCCAGTTTCGACAAGAACTCTACCGGATCCATGTTATCAGGGTCAAAAGTACCCACTGATGTTGTATAAAAGGCTCCTGGAGAAATAAAGTCTTTTATTGAGGGACTCCTGTTTGATAGTTTGTTGAGCGCATTTCCAGGTGCATCCAGTAGGAGGCATTATTGTACAAGTTTTCTGCCTGTTGCCTCATTGTGTTATTACTGAGAGAACGGCAGCTGCGCACTTAGTTTTCCTGCCTATTATTTGGATGTTTGTTGGCGGTTGGTGTTTCAAAGTGTTAGTTCATGACCATAAAGTAAGTTTCTTCAATTTCCATATGTTTTTAAATGTGTTTGAAGTGTATTATTTAACTTTGTAGTTTACACTGGCATGTACAGACGTGTAACGATTCACGTGTGATTGTTCGATAGATAAACAAGATATGCTACGTAATTTCTGCTAAACACAGAGTTAGATGTTACAGTTTACATAGTAATCAGTCTGTAATCAGTCATGTTTTGATAATGTGGAAGGATTAACCAGTATTACTGCCTTTCTGATGTTATTTGGGAATTAATGCACGGTTTGTTAATGCACCTGGATTTATTAATATATATTAATACTGAAATAATTTTATGGGACCAGACCAATGGTTATATCGTCTCCAATTGCATCTCTGCATACTGAAAACTTCAGCTGTTGTTTAGATTATATTGAAAATGTTAGTATTCTTGATTAGGAAGTGCCTGATTTATTTGTGAACATGTATCTGTTTTACTTATACTGTTATGTTTTGTTATTTTTAGACTAATATTCAATACACTTTGGAAAGAAGCTCCAGTCTCCTCATTCTTTGTGTCCTGACCGACACACCAGGAGTGTATACTGCTGATAGTTAGAACCAGAGCCTAGCAGTCTTATTTCTTCTCCAACAGATGTAACAAGACTTTTAATGTCTATGAAAGACAGCTGTCTAACAGTTCTTTGATCAGTGACCCTGGTGCTGTTGGGAACCTCACGGAATTATGTTGTCGACTAAAGCTTCCTTGCGGTTATTCTGGTCATATTCAGAATTGTATTGGGCATGTACCAACTGTCTAGTTGATGCTTCAAAAAAGATCTAAAAGACTCCCTATCTGATTTGGGCATTGACATTTCAATTGCTCAATCTGTTTAGTCTGAATGATCTCTTCAGCCCTGCCATTTCTAAATGACCTGACACTGTCGTTGACAAGTTTAGCAGCTTGTTTTCCATTTTCATTTCCTCTGATCTTTTCTTTCCTTGTTTGAGGCAAAAAGAGCTTAAAGTGCAATATCAACTTTTCCCTCTTTGGGAGAATTTTTGAATTGAGACATAGACTAAAATTTGTACAGAATAGGCATGCTAATACTGAATAAAACAAATTCTCTTCTGTCCTTAAACCTCCTTTTCCTAGTTTATTTATTTTTTGTTTACTGACAAAAAAGAAAAAATGCCTACCCCGTTTTTCGTACCTTGCCCCTGGGTGGCTCGCCAATGTCAGAAATACTGATGGGGAGGTCGAAGATCTTTTGAAGATGTTTATTGCAGCACAGCAGTGACAAAGTACATGTGGCCTCTTGGGTTCAAGAGAGTCTGAATGAACCCTGAACATTCTAAACTCAAACCTTTTAAACAGTTACATTTTATCACCTCTAATGTAAATGAAGTTTACTTTCTATACCCCTGTTGTATATAATGTGTTGTAACGAAGTTCAGACACCCCATTGTCTAAGATGGTTCTCAAAGTCCCACACCCATTCCCATTTTACAATTGATGTCAAACAGTTAATCGCGATTAATCACATCCAAAATAAGAGTGTACTGTGTATATTTATTATGTATATATAAATACACACATACAGTATATATTTTGAAAATATTTACGTTTATACAGTTATATATTAATATTCTTATATTATATATAAATATATTTAATATATAAACATAACATTTTTTCTTAAATATATACATGCATGTGTTTGTATTTATTTATACATAATATACACAGTATACACATATATATTATGTAAACACATTTTTTTATTTTGGATGCGATTAATCACAATTAATCATTTGACAGCACTACTCAGGATGTAATCATTCCAAATAGTGCAGAGAAACAACATAACTTCTGTTTTGATGAAAGCTGTTTTGATGTGTAATCTGAGTCTGGGTAGTCTGTAGTTTCTTACAACTCATAATGTGAAAACCATTATACCTGGGCCAGATAAAAAGGTTCACTTTATAAATTGTCAAGCTGTTTAATTTGTGAAAAACACCAGAATTTAACATGCACGTAATTCCTGCAAGCTTGACATGTCAGGAAGGATCAGTGTTGTTGCAGTCTAGCAATGGGTATGCAAATCTACATTTCTCCACCTTTTGGGGTAATTTTTCAAGTGTTTGACTTTCTAAATGGCTGAAATTAGCAAGGCGGCTTGTATCTTTTGTCAGGATAAGTCATACACTACCATGCAAATGCCTGGAATCAAGATTTGGTAACTACACTGTTTGCATACACTCACATTAGACATTTCAAAAGCTAGCATTAAATCATTTAAAAACCTAAGTGTTGTAGACCTTTCTATGGAAGCATCCATCAATTGCAAAAAAAGAGAAAAGTAGTGCTAAAAAAAACAAAACAAAGAAATGTTGACTAACAACCACACCTCCAGAGAAACAAAAAGTTGCTTTTCCAAAGAGAAGTTATTAAGAGAAAGCATAAAGTAGCTCAACAAACCTCTTAGCACTCAAGAAACACAGGGGGATAAAACTATACCCAAGACATTCAAAAACAAGTTTTTATTTGGCTACAAAAGATCACGGTTGATGTCAGCATATAAATAGACAGGGCCTGAAACATATTCATCAGACTCAGCATCCTGACTCAAGGTGCTGTTCGCAGATCAGATTCAGACTCAGCATCCTGACTCAAGGTAACGTTTGCAGATTCAGACTCAGCATCCTGACTCAAGGTAACGTTCGCAGATTCAGACTCAGCATCCTGACTCAAGGTAACGTTCGCAGATTCAGACTCAGCATCCTGACTCAAGGTAACGTTCGCAGATTCAGACTCAGCATCCTGACTCAAGGTAACGTTCGCAGATTCAGACTCAGCATCCTGACTCAAGGTAACGTTCGCAGATTCAGACTCAGCATCCTGACTCAAGGTAACGTTCGCAGATTCAGACTCAGCATCCTGACTCAAGGTAACGTTCGCAGATTCAGACTCAGCATCCTGACTCAAGGTAACGTTCGCAGATTCAGACTCAGCATCCTGACTCAAGGTAACGTTCGCAGATTCAGACTCAGCATCCTGACTCAAGGTAACGTTCGCAGATTCAGACTCAGCATCCTGACTCAAGGTAACGTTCGCAGATTCAGACTCAGCATCCTGACTCAAGGTAACGTTCGCAGATTCAGACTCAGCATCCTGACTCAAGGTAACGTTCGCAGATTCAGACTCAGCATTCTGACTCAAGGTAACGTTCGCAGATTCAGACTCAGCATCCTGACTCAAGGTAACGTTCGCAGATTCAGACTCAGCATCCTGACTCAAGGTGACGTTCGCAGATTCAGACTCAGCATCCTGACTCAAGGTAACATTTGCAGATTCAGACTCAGCATCCTGACTCAAGGTGGCGTTCGCAGATTTTCTTACATTTTTGAATGAAAGATCAAGTGGATAAACAATGCGGATTTATTTTCACAGCCTTCTTTGATCATATTTACCAAGGGTATGAATAATTGTGAGCACAACTGTATATAAACTCAAATTACTTTAGTCCTGGAGTGACGCATGATACTTGGTATTTCTTAATCTGAAACAATCTTGTAGTAATGTAAAGAGCCATGTTAAGCTATGGAGCTGAAAACGGAGCAGTGATGACAAATGAACAAGAGACTTGGGAGGCTAAGTAATAATTAGTTAATATAATATAAATTCATATTTCTCAAATTATTTTTGACTGCATTATAAATACTACTACATTCAGAATATGAATAAGACTACTGAGGTGGACGTGTTTGGGGAACTTGGCTATTGAAAATATCATTTAATGCTACTCAAATGAAGTTACTTTCAGGAAAAAAATTAATGCATTTTGATGAATGAGACCAAAAGAGAGTCAATAAAATGACTGCTCTTCTAATCACTAATATTGAGAGAACACACAAATATTGAAATAAACATTAAAAAAAATTCCTGCAACCAAACAAGGAATAAAATATTAAAACTCACCTTGCCATACCAACGGGTGATAAAGAAACACCAAAAGAGTGAGTTTAATCAAGCCCATTCTTTACCACAAACTTAACCACTAAGACAGCCAAACTAACTATACATATAGTTCCAACCAAACCAGGGGCCTCATGTATAAAACTTCACGTAGATTTCATCCTAAATGTGTATGTACAAAAGTTTTCAGATTTATAAATCCATGCTTACGCCAGAACTTGCAAAAAATTCCCTTTGTAATACCCAGTCAGCGGAAGATTGTGCGTACGTGCATCTCCACCCCGACTCCTCCCCGAAATAGCCATATATGGAGCTTACAACGCCTAGTTTTAATATACATAACGTCATCTGCATATCATTTCCATGCATATTCCATCCACGTGACACCATGTTTAACGCAGTTAAGGGTACAATACGTTAGGAAAATATGAGATACGTACTATAAATGCTTTTTGAGACATCACATTGCTATTCAAATTATATGCAATTCTGCCTATAAAGTAAACATATATTTTAGAATGTATATTTGAATGGAGATAGGCCTTATTTTTTTGCAGTGTAAATAACTGCCTGACTCACCGTGTCAATAACAAAAACATTTTGAAAATAAAACGTACATATCTTAGTTTCCTTCAAATTCTATCTTTTAAATATGGTGTTTGTCA